TTAAAACAATAAAATATGGCCTTTTACTCACTATCTGATATCACTTTTGCATTAAATATTGATTTGCATACTCTATGCACAATGTTCGCAACAGGTACTAAAGCTGTGCTAACACAGTGAGGTCAATTTTTGGGCACCATGACAGCAGCAGCTCAGGGGAGGCACCCCGTCTACACTAAAACACCTCATTATTACACAATACAATTTGTAGAAGGAATCGGGCATTTTTTTATGGTCCTTACTATTAGACCATGTGAGGTTTCCTCAGGATTAGCTGCATCACATAATCTCTATTTGATTAGACTTGTCTTTAGAACGCTCAGTGTTTTTTTTTTATCTGTGCTACAAGAGTGACAGCAGCAAAGGGTAAAAAAACGGTCAAAGTGATTAAAGCTTTCGCCATCCGAACTCTACTGTGTGTGAACATCTGGAACAAACACAGCTGGTAGAGAAGAGGTTAAAGTGTAAAGAACAATGACGTCAATCTGCACACCTGACGGGACCCACTGTAACTAGAACATCAAATTCTGTGTATTTTTGGTGAAGTGGACAAACTTTGTGATTGTATAACAGCCGTTATAGAAGTTTAACACAATGAAAAAGGTCTGTTTACAGGATTATATCATTTATTCTGTTTTATTTATCATTTAAATTTCAGTTTAAACTATTTGATGTTTTCTTTTATAATGAAGCATTTACCTTCAACTCCATCGACTACTTAAACCCAATGATTTCCTTAGATAGAAAACTTTGAATCAATTTGACTGGATGATCTGGTGAACTGTAAAGTGCCTTGAGATGACATGTGTTGTGAAATGGCGCTATAGAAATAAACAGAATTGAATTGATTAGTGCAAAGTCAGTTAATAATTACAACTTTTTTGAACATTTAACCCTTAGTTTCCGTCATCCTTTCTTTTTTAAACTTTGTATCGTCCACCAGGTCCTTAGTCTGAGTCAGAGTTCCTACCTGATTTGGTGTTGAATACGGACATGTTCATCATAGTAGGTTAACAACCACAGTATGTTAACAACCATGCTGACAAACAAGGTGATAGCTTAAATGCAGCCTGGAATGCTATCATAGACTCGATTGGCTTTGTTCAAAATGTGAATAGTCCCACACATTCTCATCTTCATAATTTGGACCTTGTTCTGAAATATGGCATTGAATATGAAGAGATAAAAGTATTGCCTCACAACCCTGTCCTCTCTGACCACTTTTTCAATAAGCTTTCGGATTACTTTAACAGAGTTCTCCTTCCCCAAAAGAAGGTTTCACTTTAGCAGATTATTATGAGATAATGCAGTAATACATTTTAAAGAATCTGTTTCACTTTCTTCCTCCTCCCCTCCTCTGTGTGGCTGAGGAGTGCTGCAGAGGGTAAACATTTGGTTTATTCCCCTTCACGGGTTGATGATTTTGTTGATGAGGTTGTTAGTTCTCTGCAGGCTGCCATAGACAGTGTAGCCCTTTTGAAAAAAAACAACTATAAAAGTGGAAAGCTGCTTCCCTGGTTTAAAGAAGAGCTGTGCACTTTGAAGCTAAATGCTAGGAAACTGGACAGAAAATTGCGCTCTACATGCCTACAAGAAACCTAACTAGTCTGGAAAAACTGTTTACTGCTGTATGAAATTAATCTTCATGAAGCATTAGCAACATATTTCTCCTCATTGATAAGAATAACCCAGGATTTCTTTTTAATACAGTTGCCAAGCTCACCCAGAGCCATAGCTCTGTTGAACCATCCACCCCACCTGCTCTTAGCAGTAATCATTATCGGATTCTTTCTAAATAAGGGCGATGCTTTTAAAAATTAGATAATTTGCAACCCTCTAAATGGGATTTGTTTATGTCTGAAAGGTATGGCAGCATCGGAGGTAACAACAGCCTCAACAATGTTTAGATTGTTTTCATTAAATTGAAATTTCAGAATTAGCAAAACTATTATCTTCATCCAAGCCTTCAACTTGTATGTTAGATCCAGTTCCAGCCAAGTTATTTAAGGACTCTCTGATTTCTTCCTCCATTTTAGATGTGATTAAGCTGTCCCTGTTATAGGGATATGTTCCCCAGGCTTTTGACCATCTCTTGAACCAATTGGCCATTGGCCAATTATAGACCTATATCCAATCTTCCTTTCTTAACCAAAGTTCTTGTGAAAATAGTTGTCAAACAAGTGTGTGACCACCTACACCATTCATTTTAATAATAAATCTTACTCGTGCTCCAGGGTTACATGCGGAGTACCAAAGGGATCAGTCCCAGGGCCATTTCTCTTTACTCTATATATTCTCCCAATGGTTAGAATTATTAGACAGTATGGGGTTAATTTCCATTGTTATACTGATCATATTCAGCTATATCTGTCTATTAATCCAGATTAAACTAATCCATTAGATAGACTACAGGTATATCTGAAGACTTAAAGGAATAGTACACCCAAAACATGTGTAGCCTTCATTTTCTACTCACCTCCAT